GGGGGGGGGGGGGGTCAGTTGGTCAGATGTATGCAGCATGGCCCCTATGTTTAAAATATAGAGCTGTTGTTTTCGGATGACCCGTGATGAGCATTGAAAGATGCATTGGCCAACTGCTACTTTGCTTTGAAAGAAGCACAAATAGTTTAAAGAGTCATTTTGATGTATTCCATCCAGGGGCGGATCCATAGCTTAATAATTGGGGGCAATGGCCCCCTACTAGTTTTAAGTTTTTGTTTATCATGTGTATTGTGATACTTTAATTTTTTAATTTCTTTTAGAGTTACGTAATATATGACCCCAACTAAAAATATTAGAAACCCTAATAAAAAGTATTAGAGGCCTCAATTAATAGTATTAAGTAAGAAAAAACTGAGAGAAATCAAATATTTAGATATTAAAAAAATATAATTTTAAAGTGAAATATTTTAAAATGCAAAGATAAATTCTAAAGTACTCCGTAGTACACTAAAAATATACAGAGTGATAATTAAACTAATTTATAATATTGGCATTAAAAAAATTATTTTTTATTTTTTTACTATTTGAATAACTATTTAAGGGTAAATTCATTTTTTTTAAAATCTCGCATTGCATGTATTAAAAAAAATGGGAACCTGAACATTCAAAAGGTGACCCCTACTATTTAATATTCTGGATCCGCCACTGATTCCATCGCATGTACATTCTATGTGTTCTTTAAATGTTCTTGTTCTCTATTGAATCTTTATAGATACACAGGAGTTTGGGATGTGAAGCACTAGAAACAAAAAAAAGGGATGAAGTTACTTACAAATTTTGGGGGTTCATTTTGGGATTTGTTTATTCAAGGCAATTATTTCTACCTTATTTAAAACATGATTTCTTGCTTCTTTTAATACTTATTCATATTTATAAATGGATTTACTTGTAGTTTTTGTGCAATCCTAATTTTGTTACTGATTTGTTCTTTAATGGTTTGTGGAAAGTGTAAATTCACTTGAGTGAAAATGAGAAAAGAAAGGTTAGCATAGTTTAACCAGAGGGATGTCCTTTGCTTTGAAGAAGAAAATGAAAATGTCTTTATGAGGAGTGGAATTTATTTATTTCATCGGTTATATTGTTGAGCAAATTTCACCCTTGGTCTCTTGGAGGACCTTTACCATTTCTTGTTTTTTCCTAATCCCTGCATTTTCTTCAAAGCAAGATCTCGAGACCCAAATATTTTCTCCTGCCAGGGTGAAACTTGCTCTAGTCCAAGATTTTACAAACTCAATTCAACTCTTCCTTCTAAGGATGAACCTTTTATGCAAATTAAGCTACTTCAATTATTAATGTATTGGGGATCAAGAGAAGCACAAAATAAGATGGTATAAGTACTTCAGTATTCAACCAAAGATGGTGTAATCAATCCCCAAAAATGTTCTAGTGTTTCCATTCCTTCCCCTGTAAGAGTTTTTTTATTTTCTAGTGCTTCACATCTTATGCATGTATGATTTAGAAATAATATGGATTATCTAAATGGTTCATCCTGTGTATGTATCATTTGACAACCAGTTGACAAACACTAATATGGATTATCTAACTACATTTATTAGTGAGACCCTTACATGTGTTGAAAAAACAAAAATTTGCCAAAATTATCACTGGCTGTAACAATGTTGCTTGTGTGATTTTCTCTTATCTACGTACATCATTTTATTGAGGTCTACCCACATCTTACCCTCAACAGACTCCATTTGTGGCCTTTGTGGGATTTCACTCTGTTTGTTGTTGTTGTTGTTGGTCTTCTCTTACCTTTACATTAAAGCTGATATATTTATATGGTATTTGTATCAAGTTTCTGACATCAATTTAATTTAGATAAGAAATTCACTGTGATGAAGAAGGTCCATAATAGTTATAATTCATCCTCTTCATCCCCAAACACATTCTCTACACAGCTGATATACTGCGTATAGATATTTGATATTAGTAAACTTGATGCTGCAGATATTCTTTTCATTTACTCCCTGAGATTGAGTTGAAGAAAATATTTCTCGTAATGAATTTGATTGAATTCCTTATTTGGATTTAAACCTAGAAATATGTTCCTTAGCTTGATTATTGTATTGCCTCCATTGCAGGATGCCTCGAATTGTTGAGGAGATCTTAACGATCGAGATAAAACCTGGTTGGAAGAAAGGCACAAAGATAACCTTTCCGGAGAAGGGTAATCAAGAGCCTGGTGTCATTCCATCTGATCTTGTTTTTGTGGTCGACGAAAAGCCTCATCCTTTCTTCGTCAGGGAGGGAAATGACTTGGTTGTGAAGCAGGAGATATCACTTCTCGAAGCACTCACCGGGAAAACCCTGGAACTGATAACATTGGATGGCAGGAATCTTAGGATCCCACTGACTGAGGTTGTCAGACCTGGACACGAGGTAGTGGTCCCGAACGAAGGAATGCCGATATCTAAAGAACTTCACAGAAGGGGAAATCTGCGGATAAAGATTGATGTTAGGTACCCGACTAGGCTAACTGAAGTTCAGAAATCAGAACTGAGCAGGGTCTTGGCAGGAACGTAAAGGTAAAGTTTTTGAATTGGTTACTGTTCTGGAGGCCGGGGTGATCCGTATCAAAGAAAGTTGAGTGAGTACGCCGTTGTTGGTTAGTGTACATATATATTATATATATAGAGGATGTGAATTGGGTAGAGTTTTTCCTTCCTTTGTTATGGTTTCTCCCCCTCTTCGAGAGAGAGAGAGAGAGAAGAGGGCAAGGGAATTGTTTACTGCATCAGAACTTTTAATTTAATAAGATTATTACATTAAAATGATTATATTGGTTGTTTTACAACAGTTGTTTTTGAACTGTTTTTTTTCCTATTTATTACTGGTATGTTAGACCATGATCTGCTGATACTGGAGTACAATATTTGGGTATTGGAGTAATTTGAACGATTATTTATTAAGATACTTCATACCAATAATTTATGGTGCAGCAAATAAATAACTTTAACGGAAGCAATTGTTCTTAAAAAATAAATTAAATATTTATATAAAAGAATGTAATACTCTATACAATTGAGGAATTTTTAGTCTACCAAAAATACGTCACTCGTGTCGATTATCATATACTTCAATTCCATAATAATTATTTATTAAGGTCTATTAAGTATGGAGTATATTAGATTTTCAATTAATGTAGACATACTTAAGTCTATATTTATTTAAAATCTAATTTGGAGTATTTCTTACTTCCTCCCTCCCAATTTATAATTCATGTTTTCTATTCACAAGATCGAACTTCATTCGCTTTTTTTTATCAATTTTAGTTAGCAATTTGATAAAATAAATTACTATTGTCACTACTAGTTTTGTGAATCTTTTGATATAGTATTTTAATATGTACGGAGTAATTTTTATTTTTTAACTCTATACCATTTGTCATATAAAATGATTTAAAAATAGTTTCAGTCAAACATTATAAACTGAAACAGACACCATAAATTGAGATGGATGGAGTAATAGATAGTTATTGTGGAATGAGGAAGTACATGAATATGAAAGAACTAGAGAGTAAAAGTACTAGTGAACTCGAGCTTTAGCTGTTAGAGCATGTCTTTATCCACTCTTGAAGTATATATATCACGGAGGCTGTTCCCATGACATTGATTTATAAATAGAGTTAATGGTGACTCCGCCGTGGGAAGAGCCGCTTCCTTCTTGCTTGATAGGGGAGGCTTCCATTCACCAGCGCAGACTCAAAGTGCTCTCCGAACCGTGCTGGATAGTCACCCATCACACGGCTCTTAAACCCAACTTGTGATGGAGACAAAGTAAAAGCGCTTGATCCTTTGTCCCCGCCGATAAAGGAGCCCGGAAGTGACTTACCGATTTTAGATTTGATACAAAACAATGTCATGGGATGACCCGTGTGTTACATCACATAGCGGTTACATCTCTAACAATCATCCACCATCATGTCTAATTTAAGACTTGTTCTCTTCAGCTTATTTTGATTAGTTCTGACTTGATTCAATTAAGTTTTGATCTGATTTTTGTTATATTTAAAGTTGTTTCTGATCTAATCTAATCTAATTCCAATAAAAATAGGTAATAAGTAAAAAAGAGTAAGTTGAAGAGAACAAGCTCTTAATGGGACGACTAGAGCATGATTTTTAAAACCTTTTTTTGTCTTCGAAATAAGAGGAGTTGCTATTTCTTGAGTTCCTTCTGGTGGAGTACCATATGTAACTTGAAATTCTTTAAATAAGAACTCAAAAAGATCAATAACATCATCTATTTCTTTTAATCTGTCCATCATACTAATTTGAAGATATCTTCAAGAGTTTGAAGATTGACATTTCTTCTCCACCTCTTTAACGTTCTCAAGAATATCTCCAAGAGTTTGAAGATTGACATCATTCCTGTAACACCCTAATCTGTGAGGGTCTATAGCCCCTTTCAGACTAAAGTATTAACTTGGTAATCGTAAAAATTTTAAACATTTCAAATATTTTTATTTATCACAATAATATTTTTCATAACATAACAATACGAAGTTTTCAATATTGCGGAAGCTTAACAAATCATAATCACAAACACAATTTATTTATGTTTTTCAATTCAAAACCATCACATCCATTCCGACAACCTCGCCTCCGTCTGCCTCCAGAATCATGTCACATCATTCTTTCTATTAACCTGCGTGTAGCAAATAAAACATACTACATGCTTAGCGCTGAAGCTGGGTAAACATATCTAATGCGTCGAATATCCATATAAATTGAATCTCAAGTCATAATCAAATCATTTGATATCATGCACATAATGTTGAATTCAAATATTCATCATTCATATTCAACATTCAACATTCAATATTCAATACCCAATATTCAACATTCATGTTCATATTTTCCATACTCAACATTCAATCAACATTTAAGTTTATATTCAACATTTATCAACAATATTCTTAAACTATTCTTAGTTTAAGGCCAATCTTATTAATGTTTACTTACTCTTAAACTAATTCTTGTTTAAGGTGCTTCTAACCAACTCTTAAACTATATTCTAGTTTAAGGTACTCCTAACAAATCATTAAGCTAGGTCTAGTTTAAGATACAAATTTTCAAGAAGGTTTTCAAAATCTTAAACTTATCTTTGCTTAAGGTCAATCCGAAACCGAACAGCGGAATGCTCACTGTCAGGTTGGGTGGTATCCCCAAACGAGTGATCCTCAAGTTTGGTTTGCAGATCCCTTACGCACGTTTTTTACCCTAGCCACGGAATATTCATAGTTATACCTGCAAGAACTATTTCTAATCTATCTTAGAGGTCTTCTATATAATATTAGAAACCAATGTCAACATGGATATATCTTAGAGTTCTTCTAGATATCCTTAACAATACATATCATTTTCATAATCATTAACATGTCCATTTTTACTCATGATTTCAATCATTCATAAACATCATTCTAATCAGAATATTCATCAAGGTTTAATTATCATCATCATCAATCAATAATATTCATCATAATTAATAACATTCAACAATGGTCATCATAATATTCATAAACAAATAATAGCCTAGCGTCAAGTGTTAACACCCTAGCTTAGTGTCATGCATCAAATAAAATTCTTGGATTTATCAAAACATCATATTTATTTCCAAAAATCATATTAATATTGATCAGAATGGATTGGTATTAAAAATAGGATTCAATAGTTCAAAAGTCGGGTTTTCTAGAAAAATATCAGATCAGAGGGTACCCCTCACGATACCTCATTACCGTGCCGACGGTACAGGGTACCGCTGGAGGGACTAGTGACGACAATAGCATCTCTACCACCCGGGCGGTAAGTGGGTACCATTTGAATGGTATCTAGCTACCGTGCCGGCGGTAGCAGGTTACTGTGCACTGTTCATCGTCTTCTTCCTAAGGTCTATTTTCAGAAATCTCATTTTTAGTCACCAAACTTCAAGTAAACTATATAGAAATGTTCTCCAATGTTCATAGATCATTTTGGTATCATTAGTTTATTGTTTTAACAACAATTTCAAGTTTTATGATTCTTGGTTCTTCAAATATGTCAAACACAAAACTCAACCAAATGACCATTTATGAATGTAGAAATGATCTATACAAACATTTTCGTCAATAGATATATCTACAGGGCTTATCTCGAAGCTTAACGATGATTCCGGCAATTGAACGACGAAACTTCCGACGAGCAGTACACCTTGCACCAACGACTTCAATGGCAATCAACAATAACAGACTACTCTCCTCATTCTCATGATTCTAATGAAACAATTTTCAAAAAGAATGGTGTGGAAAATGGAGGAAATGAGTTCTCCTTATATAGAAAGGAAAAGAAGAAGCTGCAAAAGATTTGTTGGACATGAGTTCAAACCCCTTTATTATTTTTGGAATATTTTTGTTTTGATGAATGACAAATAGGATAATTAAATTCAAAGCTGATCGAAACTTTATTTTTCGTATCGAGAAAAGCAAAGAGGCGTATCAAGATATTTACGGCGATAAAAATCAAACGCTTACCCCTACGCAGATTTTTATAGTGAAGTGAAGATTCCGAAGACTTTTTTTTATTGAGTCTAGGAATTTTTGTAAGGATGACAATAATTTTTGCATAAACAAATTATTTTTGAGGGATAAAAAAATTATTTTCTGAGTCAGTTGAAAAATTGTTTTTCTCTGTCTAAAAATATTTTACTGAGTCAGTTTCAAAATAGTATGTCAAAATTTCTTAAAAATACTTTTTAAGGATACACAAATCTTTTGTGGTAAGAAAAATATACTTTAAATATTTTTTTGTGTACATCGTTTGACACACAAAATAATTTTTGGACTCATTTTTTATCCCTATTCAAAATTCATTGAATAAGGGATATCATTTGAGGAGCGTTCCTGTTATTCTCGTTGTCTCAAACAACGAGTATGAAGCTAAAGACTTTCTATCGCAACTGGCCTTGGGCCCTTTGTATTTTTACGCATTATTCTCTATTTAATCGATTAATAGTCTTTTTTTAATCGATTAGATCAAGTTTCTTTTCGCTGGATTTCTCAGGCCTTATATTTAATCGATTTATTCCTCTCATTTAATCGATTAGTTGAGACAGCCCCATCTAATCGATTTTACTCTCTTTTTTAATCGATTAATTCCACCTTTGCATACAGGCCTTTTCGCTTCTCTACACTTTAATCAATTAAAGTCCCTAATTTAATCGATTAATTCTGTCTTGTGCCTATTCTCAGTACTTTTCAGTGGCTCCAACGGATCTTTTATCCTTAGCCTATTTAATCCCTCTTTCCTCTTCATTTCTAAACACAACTCTTGCACTCCAATATCTTCATTGAGTAATATTCATTTCTTGCTTCCATCTTCCTCATCAAATATTATTTTGACAGTTAGAAATATTTTCATTGAGTGCTAAAGATATTGTCATCCATAGAGCTTTCATATTTCAACACTTCTTGCTCAATTGTGTGAGCTTTCATTCTTGTGTTGTAAACTCAATCTTATTTGAGTGTTGCTAAGACTTGTGTGATTCAACTGTTGTTGTTGTTAAGGCTTGTGTGACTCAAGTCTTGTTGTAAGAAGTTGAGGCTTGTATGATTCAAGTTCTCGAGTTGTACCGGTTTTTCAAGCACCCGTTGAAGCTTGAAATTTAGTAGGACTTTCGAGAGAGTCTCTCGGAGGACTGGACTAGCCACGACGTGGTGAACCAGTATAAATCTCGGTGTTCTTCTTTCCCTTACTTTTTAAATTTATTCCTGCGATTTATATATTACACACGCGAAAAATGCACATTCTTGAAAACAACTCTATTCACCCCCCTCTAGAGTTGCACATTTGTCTAGCAATTGGTATCGGAGCAGGAAGTTCTTCGAATACATTATTTTTCAGGAAGTAAAAGATCAAATTGCATCAAGGATGTTCAGTGCAGGAGTGACCGAGGGACAATCAACCACGAGGCCACCTTTGTTCGATGGAACAAACTACTCGTACTGGAAGGAGAGGATGAGAATCTTTATCCAATCCAACGACTACAAGTTGTGGTTGATTGTGAAGAACGACTGCGGAGTCCCGATGAAGAAAGTCGATGAGGTCAACGTCCCTAAAAGATGATTTATTGCGGTGTTAATGCGGATGACTACCGCAAAATCTCGCGGTGTGAAACCGCAAAACAAATATGGGAAAAATTGGAGGTCACCTACGAAGGAACCACGCCGGTTCAGGAGGCCAAAATCGACCACCTCACTCATGAGTACGAACTCTTCTCAATGAAGGAAAATGAGAAGATTGAAGAAATGTTTGAGAGGTTCTCTAACATCATTAACCCTCTCAATCTTCTCGGGAAGACTTACACCGACTGAGAACTCGTGAGAAAAGTGCTACGAAGCCTATCCCCCAAGTGGCGTTCAACGGTGGACGCAATTGAAGAAGGTCATGACTTCCAAACAACGACCTATGATGCTCTTCGAGGTAATCTCATTACCTACGAAACCACCCAACTCTGAAAGGTGGTTGAAGAGAAGAGCAAGAGGTCTATTGCTCTACTTGCAATAACATCAACCCACAACAACGTTGATGATGAAGATGATGACAGCGACGACACCGACCTCAGACTCTTCGTCCAAAAATTCAAAAAGATGATGCTCAAGAAGGGAGCCAAGAAGAACACTCCACCCAAGTGCTATGGGTGTGGTGAAATTGGACACATCAAACCAATGTGTCCAAAGCTCAAGAACGAGAAGGACAAGAGGGCACCAAAGAAGCAACGTGCCTACATTTCTTGGGAGAACGACGGCTCCGGGAGTGAAGACTCAGAAACGGAGGAAGTGGCCAACCTATGTCTCATGACCATTGAGGATGGTGAAACATCAAAAGAGGTGTGCTTGAAGGCTTCGAGTACCTCTTGGTATCTCAATAACGGATGCTCCAAGCACATGACCGGAGACGCATCCAAATTTAGGAGTTTAGATTTTTTCAAAGGTGGCAATGTCGTTTTTTGCGACAACGACAAAGGAAAGATCATTGGAAGTGGCACCGTCGGGAGAGACAATGCTACAACCTTTGAGAGCGTTCTTCTTGTTGAGGGCCTCAAGCACAATCTTCTTAGCATTAGCCAATTGTGCGATAGAGGTAACCGTGTCATCTTTGATTCTAGTAAATGCATTGTAGAACGCTTGTGTGACAATAAGACTATTCTTTTTGGTAGTAGAGTAGATAACATTTACATGTTTGATCTTGAAAATTCCTCATCTACTTTAGCTAAGTGCCTCATTACCAAAGAGGAAGAAATGTGGCTATGACATCGTCGGATAGCTCACGTTAATATGGACCATCTTAATAAGTTGGTTTCTAAAGACTTAGTAATTGGTGTTCCTAAACTTAAGTTTGAGAAGAATCTAATTTGTGATGCATGTCAAAAGGGGAAGCAAGTAAGGGCCTCGTTTAAGTCAAAGAATGTTGTTTCTACGACAAGGCCATTACAACTTTTGCACATGGACCTTTTTGGACCTTCAAGAACTATGAGTTAAGGAGGTAATTAGTTTGGATTTGTTATCGTTGATGACTATTTGAGGTTTACATGCACACTCTTTCTAGCTCATAAGTATGAAGCACTTAATGCTTTTAAGAAATTCATTAAATTGGTTCAAAATGAAAAATATTCTCACATTGCATCCATTAGAAGTGATCATGGGGGAGAATTCGATCAAGAAGGCTTTGACGCCTTATGTGACGAATTAGGCATTGAGCATAACTTCTCGGCCCCCCGTACACCACAACAAAATGGCGTGGTTGAACGGAAAAATAGGTCTCTTGAAGAGATGGCTAGAACTATGCTCAATGAGGCTAACCTTCCTAAATATTTTTGGGCGGATGCCGTGAGTACCGTGTGCTACATGTTAAACCGAGCCGTCATTAGACTGATACTCAAGAAAACACCCTACGAACTTTCCAAAGGAAGAAAGCCTAATCTTTCCTATTTTCATGTTTTTGGATGTAAAGTTTTTATTCATAATAATGGAAAAGATAACTTGGGAAAATTTGATGCTAAGTCGGATGAAGAAATTTTCTTAGGTTATTCTCTTTGTAGTAAGGCATATAGAGTGTTCAACAAGCGTACTAAGACCGTAGAGGAGTCTATTCATGTTGTCTTTGATGAATTTGATGCTCGCTTGGGGAGAAAAGGTATTGTTGATAATGTTGCAGGTTCCTATGACGATGAAGAAGAAATCGTTTAGGAAAAGGAACCGGAAGAAGAGAAAACACAGGAGCAAATGGAGCTTCCTAAGAAGTGGAGAACGTTGAAGAATCACCCGATTGACAACGTCATTTGGTGACATAACGCAGGGAGTTTCTACTCGTAATTCTCTTAGGAACACAATTAATCACATGGCCTTTGTTTCTCAAATTGAACCAACAACTGTTTTGGATGCTATTAATGATGAACATTGGTCTATGGCAATGCAAGAGGAGCTTAACCAATTTAAACACAATGATGTTTGGGAATTGGTGCCTAGACCTAATGATCACTCCGTTATTGGTACGAAATGGGTGTTTCGTAACAAACTCGATGAAAATGGAGTAATCACTAGAAACAAAGCTAGGCTTGTAGTTAAAGGCTACAATCAAAAAGAAGGCATTGATTATGAAGAAACTTATGCACCGGTTGCACGTTTAGAAGCTATTCATTTATTACTTGCATTTGCATCTACGATGGATTTTAAACTTTATCAAATGGATGTTAAAAGTGTCTTCCTTAATGGTATCATTCAAGAGGAAGTGTATGTCGAACAACCCCTGGGTTTCGAAGACTATGAGTTTCCCGAACATGTCTTAAAACTCAAAAAGGCGCTTTACGGTCTCAAACAAATACATCGTGCTTGGTATGAACGGTTAAACAAATTTCTTTTGGACCATGAGTTCAAACGGGGTCAAGTCGACATTACTCTTTTCATCAACAAAGATAACCAAGACACCCATTTGGTTCAAGTTTACGTAGATGATATCATATTCGGTGCTACTAATGAGGTTTTGCGTAGGTATTTTTTCGATATGATGCAAGGTGAATTTGAAATGTCGATGATGGGAGAATTAAAGTTCTTCCTTGGGCTACAAATTAGACAATGCAAAGAAGGAACATTTGTGTGTCAAACGAAATATTGCAGGGAATTGATTAAGATATTCGACGTTACCGAATCCAAATCCATTGACACACCAATGAGCACCTCTTGCTATCTCGACAAGGACGAAAAAGGTAAAGAGGTAGATATCAAGCGCTACCGAGGTATGATCGGCTCTTTACTTTACCTTACCGGGAGTAGACCGGATATCATGTACTCCGTTTGTATATGTGCTAGGTATCAATCTTGTCCTAAAGAGTCGCACTTGGTTGCGATCAAAAGGATAATGCGATATCTCGCGGGCACGTTGAACACATGTCTTTGGTATCCCAAAGGTTCGACATGTCATCTTGTTGGCTATTCCTACTCGGATTTTGCAGGTTGCAAACTCGATAGGAAAAGTACCAGCGGTACTTGCCACTTATTCGGTCATTCGTTAATCTCGTGGTTTAGTAAAAAGCAGGTTAGTGTTGCACTCTCCACCACCGAAGCGGAATATGTCGCTGCGAGAAGTTGTTGTGCCCAAATTCTTTGGCTAAAACAGAAACTAGTGGATTTCGGCCTTATACTTGATCACATCCCAATTAGGTGTGACAATATGAGTGCTATTAGTCTAACGAAGAACCCCGTTCTTCACTCGCAGACTAAACACATAGAAATTAGGCATCACTTCATACGAGATCAAGTCCAAAAGGGAGATGTCACAATTGAGTTTGTTGAAACGAAACATCAATTGGCAGACATTTTCACGAAGCCCCTTAGTAGGGAGAGTTTCTTCCACATTAAGAATGAACTTGGCATTTTGGATATCTCTATGAACTAATTCCTTCTTTTATTAACTATACTAATTTGAGCATCGGAGGCGCGATAAAATATTTTTTTGTAGGGCTTTTCTATCAGGTATCTTGGTATCTAACCCGAACTGAACTTGATGTTGTTTTTTTCTGTCAAACAATTTTAATCGATTACTCCTCGTAGATAAATCGATTAGTTGCTTATATGCCTCTTAATTTATTACATTACTTATTCCTAATCGATTAAATTCTTCAGTACAATTTTGTTTCAATTTTAATCGATTAATTCTTTCACAGAAATCGATTAGGTCCATTTGTATAACTTAATCGATTAATAACCTCTGACTAATCGATTAGAATTCGATTGGTCTTAATCTTCACAAGTCTAATCGATTAAATAGTTTTTTTTAATTGATTAATATTCGATTCCTGTTCATTAAAGTCAGTTCGACTTCGTCTTCAACGCCATTCACTCTTCTTCAGAACGCAGAAGCTCTAAACCCTAGCTCTCTCTCTTCTCCGATTTCCTCATATTTCATCAAGGATTTCACCAATTTCTTTACCAAATTTCATCAAACTCAAAGAGGAAAGATGCCAAGGTGCAAGAACCCCACGCGTCAAGAATCGGCAGCGGAAGAAGGGGAGCATCCATGGCGTCGTGAAGGGAGCAAGTACATCAACATCTAAACTCGACTCGCCTTCAACACAGGAGCATCAGTCGAGAGGTTCCAAAACACTTTTCTCACGAAGGAGATCATCCCACCGAAGATTGTGGACAATGACCTCTTCAAATCGGCGACCTATGCCCCGAGTAAGTCCCTTTTCTCTCAGCAAGGTTTGCTCCGCTTCATTCACTTGACGTATGAATTCTTTTGTCCAAATCTTATACGTCAATTTTGCTCCAATCTTCGTACCACTTTGGGAGATTCGCCATCTCTCATCTCCTATGTTGACGGCAAAACCGTTTTTGTTGACGGTGCCGCCTTGACCTCTCTCCTTGGCCATCGTAAAGGTGAAATTACCGACAATTTGGATGAAACATTCCAAGATGAGGGAATTTGGAGACAACTCGGGTTAGATCATCGTGACCTCAAGTTTAGAAATTCTAATAACCCGAGTGTCATTAACCTCACTTTGATTCAACGCGTCCAACAATACATCTTCTGTTATGTTTTGTTGCCCCGTGATTCGAACCATGGCGTTGTCAACAAGGGCGACATTCGTTTGTTTCACGTCCTGTTGAATAATGTCAAATTTGATTGGGTTCATTTCTTTCTTGTTGCACTTCGTGAGGGCTCTCGCTTTTCACATCTTCGTTTTGCCGTGCCTATCATGCATATCCTTGCTCATTGCAAAGTGGACCTTACTCGGGACACTCAGGTGCCGGTGAAGAAGACATGCTACATCAAGGACACCAAGTTTTCCCGGATCATGTACCGTGAGGAGGGCGATGTTGCACTTAATTTGAACCTCGTAGTCGCAGACGAAGAAGAGAGCCAAAACGAAACTCAAGCCGAGTCATCTCGTGCCGGAGGAAGTCGAGCCACGGAGCGCGTCACTCGTTAACGTAGGACTTGTCCAAGAGAAGAAGCACCGGAACTTTCGTGGGTGAAGAGGGTCTTTGACACTCTCACCTGCATTCAGGACGACGTTCGTCAACTCAACGAGAGGATGACTCATTTCGAGCAATCGCGCTCCTACCGTGGCTCGCGACACAACTTTAGCGGAGGAGCTTGTCCGGCGCACTCTCTTTGATTATGCTGACTTTTGTTATGACTTACTATGATACATTATTATTGTTATTGCTTTTATGATGTTGAAGATGCTTTGGATTGTTGTTAATGGATGACGTTAATTATCATTATGTATTGATGATTGTTGGTTTAGAAATATTGTTCCTTTTAGAACATATTGTCCCTTTGTGACATTTTTGTTAGTAGTTTTTCTTTAAAGAAAACTCTTGCAAAATCTTTTTTACTATCCTTCAAAATCCCGGCATTGATTAAGGGGGAAGGATATCGATTGATAATGCCAAAAGGAGGAAGGAAGGATAGTTGAGAAAACTTGTTTTTCAAAAACGTTTTTCCGCTTATTACTCCAAAATTATTTTTTACTGCACTTCTCTAACCTTGCAGGGGGAATTATATTAAGGGAAGTATTTCTTGAACTCTTACTTTGCTTTTTCTAAACTATGTTTCTCATTATCAAAAAGGGGGAAATTGTTGGACATGAGTTCAAACCCCTTTATTATTTTTGGAATATTTTTGCTTTGATGAATGACAAACAGGATGGTTAAATTCAAAGCTGATCGAAAATTTATTTTTCATATCGAGAAAAGCAAAGAGGCGTATCAAGATATTTGCGGCGATAAAAATCAAACGATTACCCCAACGCAGATTTTTGAAGTGAAGTGAAGATTCCGAAGACTTTTTATTTTTTTTATTGAGTCTAGGAATTTTTGTAAGGATGACAATAATTTTTGCATAAAGAAATTATTTTTGAGGGATAAAAAAATTATTTTCTGAGTCAGTTGAAAAATTGTTTTTCTCTATCTAAAAATATTTTACTGAGTCAGTTTCAAAATAGTGTGTCAAAATTTCTTAAAAATACTTTTTAAGGATACACAAATCTTTTGTGGTAAGAAAAATATACTTTAAATATTTTTTTGTGTACATCGTTTGACACACAAAATAATTTTTGGACTCATTTTTTATCCCTATTCAAAATTCATTGAATAAGGGATATCATTTGAGGAGCGTTCCTGTTATTCTCGTTGTCTCAAACAACGAGTATGAAGCNCTATCTAAAAATATTTTACTGAGTCAGTTTCAAAATAGTGTGTCAAAATTTCTTAAAAATACTTTTTAAGGATACACAAATCTTTTGTGGTAAGAAAAATATACTTTAAATATTTTTTTGTGTACATCGTTTGACACACAAAATAATTTTTGGACTCATTTTTTATCCCTATTCAAAATTCATTGAATAAGGGATATCATTTGAGGAGCGTTCCTGTTATTCTCGTTGTCTCAAACAACGAGTATGAAGCCAAAGACTTTCTATAACAACAGGCCTTTTCACTTCTGTACACTTTAATCGATTAAAGTCCCTCATTTAATCGATTAATTCTGTCTGGTGCCTATTCTTAGTACTTTTTAGTGGCTCCAACGGATCTTTTATCCTTAGCCTATTTAATCCCTCTTTTTTCCTCTTCATTTCTAAACACAACTCTTGCACTCCAATATCTTCATTGAGTTATATTCATTTTCATTGAGTGCTAAAGATATTGTCATCCATAGAGCTTTCATATTTCAACATTTCTTGCTCAATTGTGTGAACTTTCATTCTTGTGTTGTAAACTCAATCCTATTTGAGTGCTGCTCAGACTTGTGTGATTCAAGTCTTGTTGTTGTTAAGGCTTGTGTGACTCAAGTCTTGTTGTAAGAAGTTGAGGCTTGTGTGATTCAAGTTCTCGAGTTATACCGGTTTTTCAAGCACCCGTTGAAGCTTGAAGTTTAGTAGGACTTTCGAGAGAGTCTCTCGGAGGACTAGACTAGCCACGAGGTGGTGAACCAGTATAAATCTCGGTGTTCTTCTTTCCCTTACTTTTTTAATTTATTCCTGCGATTTTTATATCACACACGCGAAAAACGCACATTTTTGGGGACGGAGGGAATATTACATTAAAATGAAGTATATCCATAACTAATTATTCCATAAAAATTACACACATGCGTAGAAAAAGTTTGTAGAAGGAAAGAGGAATTTGAGTATAGTGATATAAAATAAGCAAAAAAACTCTTTTTCAACGCGAATCTAATTCTCCATCGAAATTACTAGTGAATAGTGCATATAAGCTAAAAGGAAAGATGTCTGCTGATTAAGGAAAAGAATGCATATAAAGTCCTAAAGGTGTTGACTTTAGAAATATGCAACCTCAATAATTTCAATAGACACATGTGTGCTAACCTGTTAAAAATTTGCCCAATAGACCCACCATGTGTCAAGCTTGTTATATATTTTAGTGTCATTGTAATTACTACTTGACCAATAATATCATAATAATCATCAAAGAAGTTTGGTGGTGGAGAGTGCACACTTCGTTAAGTTTGTCATGATAAAAGTCCCGTTTTATCAGGGTTCCAAGGGAGTAGCGCCCCTGGGTAGGGCTCAAGAGGCGGCTGCCCCTGCGGGGTCCAAGAGGTAGAGCCCCTGATTGGGATCAAACAAAGTGCTGTGTTAAAAATTTACTTGAATTTTAATTTTTGGAATTTGTTTAAAGGCTTTTTCCAAAAATAGGCACCTTCTAAAATTGCACGTTTAGATGCAAATTTTAGATGAGAGACACAACCCATCTCTTCCTACTTCTGCGACTTATGAATCCGGCAATCCTTGGTCGCACATAGCACTTCGAAAATTCATAATCAACTTATACCCATTTTTTTCAAAATTTGAGTTTTATCCGATTGATTTTTGGATTTAACACCCACAATATCAATGTAAAAGTGTTGCACGACTCTTAGATTAATCCGTGTTATCTTCAATTTCCCCAACAAAGATCTGGTGAGTTTACTCCTAAATTATACATATGTATGTATGTATGTATGTATGTATTTGTGTGTGTGCGTGTGTGTGTGTATGTTCTAGTGAGAATGCGATCTATGAAAAAAATAAAAATGAATCTGGTGCTTTAGATTGTGAGATCTAAGGGTTAGGATTGCATCAAAATTAGGTGCACCAAAATGGTTTGAAAATGCATCATGTCGAAATGCACCAAAATCCTTTGAAAATGCACTATCTCAAAACTGAGTGCATGATGCAATCTGAGCCGTACGATGCATCAGGTCCAAAGGCTAGATTTTATTCTTATTTATTTCACCAAGGTGCATTCTCACCTGAACCGGCTCCTATGTGTGTGTGTGTGTGTCTATATATATATATATATATATATATATATATATATATATATATATATATATATATATATATATATATATATATATATATATATATATATATATATATATATATATATATATATATATATATATATATATATATATATATATATATATATATATATATATATATATATATATT